TATATATATATATATATATATATATATATGTATATAAAATGGAGGTAATACCGCGCTATTGAGCCACTCAAAATTACCGCAAGGGAAATTCCCTCACCGCGACAGCCCTAGTCTAGAAAGCCTGATTTTTAGACTGACAATTTTTCTGGCACAACTACAGAATTTGACCCAAGAAATCCAGGACAGTCCTGAGATATTTTTTTTATGCATTTCAAATTCTTTTGAGAATTTGTAATGTAATAGTATATTGTTTTTCAAAACAAATTCTGACCCGAATTTTCATGCTGATAATATAATCTGAAATAAATATGTGTATTAAATGTGTGTGTGTTCCCCCACTATTGGCTTTAGCCTTTTTATCCCAGTGTACACTGAATTCACTTTGGATTAAAGCAGCTGCAAAGAGATTAATTAGTTTCTTTCAGAAAGGTCAAAATATTTTGTCTATCAGATGCATTTGTTCATGTGTATCATACCTTTGCACACAACACTTATGAAAGTGTAAAATCTCTGAGAGAGGGATGACTTGAACATGTGCGAACTCTTATCACAGGAGATTAACTGACAAGAAATATCAATGCAGTGGAAAGGGAATGTTGAGGAGGAGGGCTTGCTGGAGCACGCTAACAGCACAGATGTGTTTATTTCTAATCCTACAGAGAAATGAGAGATTAAAAGCATTGAGTTGCAGAGCCCTCCAGTGCACGAACAGCCCCACTATGTGTTGAGAGATGAGTGCTGGCAATAGGGGCCCTAAATCCCGGTTTATTGTATGGTCTAAACGCATAGTCTACTCCATTGCTTCAGCAAACAACGTGGACATAATGGAAGCATCTGACCGAGTGCCTGACTCTTAAAACTCTCTTTCATTAACCTGTGTTTGAGTTCATACTGATGCATTGAGTCAATGTTTGTACAGAAACTGAATAATCTTCGTGTTGTGTAGTGTTCTGCTGGCTTTTGTTAGTAATAAGGCTCCGAGTTCACGGGGATCAAGTCGTTCTCGATCAATTTGTGTACTCCTTTTTTTCTGAAAAATGCACTTATACAGTACATCTTTGTTTGCACTAGCAGTTTCTTTTCTTTTTGCAGTTTGCAGAATGCATTCTTTTCTTTTTTTGCTTTATTTTTGGCTTTTTTAAATTATTTTTGTCACATACCTCCTATATAGAAATATCTCAATCTCAACTTCAAAATTTATTTTATATATATATATATATATATATATTAGTGTGTGTGTGTGCACAGTGCATACTTTATCATATTTTTATTTGTTTATATATTTTATTTATATATTTAATTTGTTACTGACTTTCTAATTGTCTCAATTTAATCATATTTAATTATGATATTTAATTATATTGAATTTTTAAAGAAATATGGAAACATACATTTTCTTTATATGCACTTAGTGTTAAATAGCATTTTTATTAAATGAATAATAATAATAATAAAAAATCTGCCATTTATTTCATAGAGATCTGTTGTCTCAAAAAAATTACAATTGTCTGAATATTACTTTTTTATATGAAATTAAAACAAACACACACACACACAAATATTACAAAATAGTAGTTTATTTGAAATTGTCACCAAAACATTTTCTAGAAAGCAGCTGGCACCCCCACTGAATTTTACTCAAGAAATCCAGGACAGTCTTCTTTTTTTATTCAGTTCAAATTGTAACATTTGAGAAGTAAATGTGTATTGTTTTTCAGTACAACCTAACGCAGTCTTGACAGACCAATTGTTTGCAAGTAAGCGTGTCTGTAGTGGCATACTAGTGTGAGCCACATTTCTACTTCCCTTCCTTTTTATTCCCTCATATCCTGTCCTCCTCTCTCCACCCTCTTTTTCCCATTTCTTCCTCTGCTCTGCTCTTGGGTGGTCTCACCTGGCTTGCCCAGGGGGCAGCCAAGCAGAACTGGAAGTGTCTGTGGGTGGCCTGACCTCCCTGTGCCTCTCCTCCAGTGCAGCGCAGCACCAAGGCCTACTGAAAGGCCCAGCGTCAGCGGCGCTCAGATGATCCAACAGCTGACGCCCACTCCAGACCTTCAGTGGCTCTGTGACTAAGGCAGGCCGCTGATCCAGCCTTCCTAACTCCCTCCCCTCCCAGCGGCCAAGAGGGCACTGCCGTTGTCAGGCTTCAGGCATTTGGCCACTTGTTGGGTCCCCTCAAAAATAGAAACCCCATCTATGAAATGTTAAGTGGTTAGAGCTGCAGCGACAGATCGATTTACTTGGGTGGTTTATGATGGGTGGGCTGGCATTGGTCACATTTTTTACGTTTCATCAGTGTACATTCTTGGTTGACTTGGAAGTCATGGTACATGTTTGGATGTTTGAACGATAGCCATTATGTGGTTGCTTTGCCTTCACTCTGTGTTCCTTTTATGTACTCTGGAACTGGAGTACACATTTCCAGACATTGCCTGTCTATTGGCTACTTTGAACCACAGCAGTGACCAGTCTTAAAGAAATAGTTCACCCAAGAATAAAAAAGAAATGTTAACCTAACCTGAATGTCTTTCTTATTCTTTTGCATGCCAAAGATCACATTTTGAAAATGGTCTCTGTGTTGTTTTGGATCCTCTGACTTTTATTATACAGTATGAGCAAAAACATTCTATAAAATATCTCTTTTGTGTTCCACAGAAGAAAGTTAGTTTGAAAAATGAATACGAGTCAATTACAGAATTTTTGTTTTTGTGTGAACTACCGTTTTAATTCAGTCAATGGGAAAACTGTGTAAAATGTGTGTACAATTAAAATATTTTTACTTCTCTAATTCTGGAAGAAGGATTTTGGCGTTTTAGGGTCAATAAAATCTCCCATTTGCCACCATGGGTCTTCGCTTCAGTTGGACAGGTGGTTTGTTCCACTTACCGAACACTTGCTATTCTCCTGCTTTCAACTTTTGCTAGACTTGCATGAAATGTGCACCCACAGATAAGAGGTATTTGCAGAATTCATAGGGCCATAATTTACAAAATAAAAGATTTGACCCCTCAAGATGACTTTGACCCCAAAAAAAAACAAAAAAAACTTTTTGTGAAAAAAAAAAGTTTCATGTTTTGAAGAGCCATGATTCTCATGGTGTTGGAAAATCTAGATATATGAGGTAGCATAATTTTAAAAGTGTGGTTTCTTGACCTGCGAATGTCATGTAAATTTAATAAAATAGGCATTTTAATAATGATTTTTTGTTGTTGTTGATATGCCAAATGTTCAAATATTTTATCAGTAAACATTGTATTGTTGTATTCCTTTAATTCCTTATCATGAAAATCTGGGAAATCATGGGGCCTTCAAAAATGGACTTAAACTTATTTTACTTTCTTTTATTTCGGGTAGTGTCCATGGCAATATTTCTCCATGTTTAATATCTCAGTATTCTTAACATATTCATGGCAATATTTAATTTTAATTTAGTTTAACTTGATGAACTAAAATAACTAACTGAAAAAAAAAGTTTTAAAAATTTCAAAAGAAAACGAACTGAAATGAAAATCAAAACTAATACAATATATTAATAAAAACTAAAATAGTATTTCAATGATACTAAAATAACACTGGCTTGAGAACTACTGGGATAGACATTGCTGAAAGGCACAGCCCCTCGGGTCTGATTACTTTAATTAAACACTGGCAACTGTATTATGATATGCTCAATATAAATAATTAGAATAAACAGTTCTGCTGCCAAGTAATGTAGTTCATTAGTCTAACTCTAGACAGTTTATTGGTTGGCAAGCAGTGTAGTAATTTAAGTAGATGTGTGATCAGAGGTCTGCGTGTGTATCGGCTATTGTACAACTGCTTTGAATGCGGCTTGTCAGGTTTTTGAATTTGATCTTATATAAATCTTTCTTTATTATATTATATTTATTGCATTTTAAATAAGTTATTCTAAAATATAGATGTCTCTTCTGTTTTTGAAAGGAAATTTTTGTATGATTTTGAGAGTCCTATCATCCAAAGAATGTCTTTTAAATAATAATAAATGCAGCTTCTCATAGACCCAGGTTTCATATGTGCATTAGCTTGAAGTCATTCTGAGTTTGCAGTGGTCAATGGGGAGGGATTGTTCTCCTTCCTCAGTAGCACAGTTAGCTCATTCTAAACAAACAGTGCTGTGCACACTGTTATCTTTTGGGCATGTGTGCTCCGGTGGCTCCTGGGCCTTCTGCCCCAGGGCCAGTACAAGAGAACCGGAACTTTATCGGAGCGGAGCAGAGCACAGCGTCACGGCAGGCCTCTCCCTGGGCCTCCCCAATGAGGCATGCAGCTCTCCCTGAGCCAGGCACGCTCTAACGGGCTGTTCCCCACTCCTGCTCCCATGTTTATTTATCCACAGGCCTGTGATGGACAGACCAGATGGGAACCAGACAACTCAAACAGAAACAATGGCAAAGAAGAGCAGGATTTATCGCTGGGTTCCCCTCCATGCCTGCGCTCACTCATACACACACTCACGCAAACTGTGGCAGAGCACAGTGCTTTTTTTTTTGAGAGAGATTGGGTCTCTCGTTTTCTCACATCATTCTCATGTCATGTTATAAACATTTCTTTTGTTGTTGTGACCATTGTCAAGAGTCTTCATACATGAAGTGGAGAACATTAGGCCATGAAAGTGTCATCTGAAGCATTGTGGCAGTGTTTTGTATGAGCAGAAACCTCTTTTTCTTCAGAATATATGAAAACCTGGTTGTTGTTGGTTTTATTTAATATACCAGCCAGTTTTAGGAGATCAGCATGGCAGTAAGTAGTCTGTTCGTAGGGCTAAAATAGAAAACAATAGCCTAACAAGGTGAGGAAATTTGTTGGTGAGGTGTGAAATATTGACCTGATGCTGATGGTAGTCTATCCCAACTGTTTCAGATGAAACCGATCCATAAAAATAACCTTACCAAGCTTAATTTGACCATTCAGCACAAGTTGTGCTCCAGGAACAATGGCACTTGTTGAATTTTGTCCCACTTTTTTGACTTTTTCGGTTTCCAAGCTTGGTACCATGCGTCTTCCATTTCCTAGAACAATGCTAGCTTCTTTAATATGTGACCCTTGACCACAAAACCAGTCTTAAGTAGCATGAGTATATTTGTAGCAAAAGCCAAAAATACATTGTATGGGTCAAAATTATCGATTTTTCTTTTATGCCAAAAATCATTAGGATATTAAGTAAAGATCATGTTCCATGAAGATATTTCATAAATTTCCTACCGTAAATATATCAAAACTTAATTTTTGATTAGTAATATACATTGCGAAAAACTTAATTTGGACAACTTTAAAGGCGATTTTCTCAGTATTTAGATTTTTTTTGCACCCTCAGATTCCAGATTTTCAAATAGTTGTATCTCGGCCAAATATTGTCCATACATCAATGGAAAGCTTATGTATTCCGAAAATTGACCCTTATGACTGGTTTTGTGGTCCAGGGTCACATATGTAATTAATATAAGCAATTTAGTTTCTGAAGACTAAATTGCTATTTATATAAATGTTGGTGGTAATATTATTGCAGTTGTCATTGGTTGTGACGTTACAGCTGTGACAATTAATGACTAGTTTGGGTTGGATGAACCTGGGTTGGGAGCTTTATGTTGTGAACAAATATATCTGTATAGTATTTCTGACTCTTTTATTTCAAAGGAACAAGGAAGATGCTGAGTGTCTGTAGCAAATACTTGAAAAACTTGCCCATTGGCACAAAACAACAAATTGGAACAATTTTTATTCAAGTATTTCAACCCAACTGGTGATTTCAAAACCTAAAAGTAATCATTCTAATTATGTGTAGGGAACACATCGCCCTTCCAGTGGACATTATAATCAAATTGTTGGTGGAAAAGCTGGATTGTTCTGTCTTGATGCTGGTTTAAATAGGATTTGTCTTTTTTTTTTCTCTCCCACAGACAGACATCTTGGTGGTGAGCTGTGATTTGATAACGGATGTGGCTCTGCATGAGGTTGTGGACCTCTTTCGTGCACACAACGCCACCTTGTCGATGCTCATGAGCAAAGTGCATGAATTCACAGAGACTGTCCCTGGCCAAAAGGGCAAGAAGAAAGCAGGTACTATCACTCACAAACGTGATTGAGCAGGAAAAAGATGGTGTGGTTTTGAACGGAGTGCTATTGTTGCACTGTTTCCAAAACCTATTTATTGACCATTTCCTCTTTTCCCAATATGAACAAAAAACTCATCCCAGTGGACTGTATTATTTTGCATTCCTGCAGTTGTTGACTAGCCATCTGTCTTGAGCCAAAATACAGTTTGACTGTACAATATCCCGCTGTCGTATTTTATGAGTTTGCTATGACAGATTGGAATTGTGCCTTGTAGCAGGAGAGCAGCGGGACTTTGTAGGCGTGGACGTCACGGGAAAGAGGCTTCTGTTCATGGCCAATGAGGCAGACCTGGAGGAAGGCCTTGTTCTTCGGAAGTCCATCATGCGCAAGTAAGTGTCAACGTCACTTCAGGTCTAACCTGGAGTCGTAACTTTTTTATTTAATTTTTAATTTAATTTAATTTAATTTAATTTTTAT